TTCATTGATCTGCCTGTTCTGCTCCCCACTCTGTCTCTGGTGAATCTTCTCACTGCACCTGCACCTCTGGCCTGTACCCCATTTCTGTATGCATGAATAAATAAATCAATGATTCAAGTCAATTACAAATATTAATCATGCACTTCCTATCCACAACTAAGACAACAAATCAGAGGTGGCTGTGGATTCTGTTCAAAGGAACGTTTAAGAACACACATATTGCATGAGCACAATAATGAAGGATAGACCAGGATAGCAATGGATTTCTCTTTAAAAATGCAGACTTTGTCCACAAGGTTAGCCTTTTGGACAATACTGGATTATTTTGTGTCTCCCACTCCAACGACATGGCTTCCCATGGTAGCACTACAAGCATGCGGCACTATCCATGCTCTGAGGGGGCATGGAGTGTGAGCTTGCCCCAAGTCTAGTGGGAATTCGATGGGAAGTTTACAACCAGACAGGATAAGGCAGAGGGAACAGATATGGTGTAACTGACGGTGCCAGGAGAGCCTGAGGAAACCAGGGAGGGATGAAATGAAAAGATGGGTGTACACCCTAAGATCTTTGTTAAGCAAAAATGGTCAGAGATAAGTTCTCATCTACAAAGGTCTTGCTCTGGATTATAGCCACACTGTCTGACTTAAAGGCAGGTATCTACCAGACTGCTCTGTGAGATGTTACCCAGGGGGCTGCTAGAAACAGTAGGAACTTCTCTCAGACACAGAGAGGGCTTCCTGACAGCCAGGGCCTAGGAAGAGCTGAGGCAGAGAAGCTGAGCTGTCTAGAAGATGTCTCAGTCTCCCGTGAGGACAGTGTGGGACTGCTGAGATGCCGCTCTCTGTGTCCTGGTTATTAAACCCTGACATCTGCAGTGGTCTGCGCACATCTGTGATAGAAAAGAACCTGACTCGGGGTGTGTGTGTTTGGGTGTGCTCATGTATACACACAGACACTCATAGAAGAAGGGTGGGAAAACAGATTGTATGAAAAGTAGAGTGACCTGAGGTGGAGAGAGATGGGGGGAAGCAGTAAAGACACACTCCCTTTACTTTGCACTGGACCTGGCGCATACAGCTGTGTGCCTCATGCCTCTGGAAGTCAAGATTTCACCTTTGCAAGAAGCACCACTCTCTAGTTCGAAAATATTTTCATTATCCTAAAAGGAAACCCCGCATACACCCTCATAAAGCAGCTGCTTCCTTCCTTCCCTTCTCCCCAGCAATCACCAACTTGCATTCTGTTCCCATGAATTTGCCTATTCTAGATATTTTCTTTAACTCTATCATACAATATGTGACCTTTTGTTTCTGGCTTCCTTATATCTGAGGAGTTAAGAGATAAGAGGAGCAGGAGAGGCCAATTGCATACTGAAGGATGAAAATAGGAATCCTGGTCATTTGAACACTTCACAAGGAGTCTGGCATTATTTTTTTTTTTTTTTGCATTTTTTTTTTATTAAAAAGTTTATTTTTACATCATTTTTCACATTTTTTTTTCATCTCAATTGTAATCCCCACGGGTTTCCCATCACCAAAT